CTCAAATTCTAGTAAAAAGACCAGACTTAATGGTCTGACTGAGACTGGAGGAATTCTGGAAGACATGGCCCCCGGACTCTCTGTTAGCCCAGAACTGAAACCATTCCTGAAGCCAACTCTTCAGACAAAGATTAAACAGGACTATGGGACATAAAATGATACTCATGAAGAGAGTGCTTCTTAGCTCAAGTAGATACATAATACTAAACGAGCAGCTCCTGTCCGGAGGTGAGATGAGAAGGCAAAAAGGGACAGGAGCTGGTTGAATGGACACGGGAAATCTAGGGTGGAAAGGAGGAGTGTGCTGTCACATTATACGGAGAGCAGGTAGGATCACATAGCAATGTGTGTATAAATTTTTGTATGAGAAACTGACTTGAACTGTAAACTCTCACTTAAAGAATAATAAAAAAATTATATTCTGAAAATAATATTTTAAAGCACAATTAACAGTATTCGTGAATTCACAAGGGTTTTTAAAGTGGTGACAGCTGCTCCCTCGGTGCCGTTTTGGCCCGTTCGGGAGTCCTGTGTGTTACCAAGCAAAGATCGGGCATCTGTTCTTCATCGTGTTGGTCTAGGGTTCTTAGTTGATTACATTGTTCAGTTGATGCCCTCATCATATGGAATTATTTCTGGTGAGCTAAAACGTCTCTCACACTCAGCTTGTGAAGCCAGACAAGTACAGTCAGAAGCCTTTAGATGTACCATCAGCCTCCCCAGACCATGAACGACAGAGAAAAGCATTGGATTAAATCAGTTGGCTGCCTCAAGACCGTGCAATGCTGTGGATAATTGGATGGAGCCAGAGTAGAGTGATGTGTATCATCCGAGAGTTCAGCTGACTGTTTAGGAAGTGGTTTGTGGAGCCTGCTTCCTGGGTTCAAATGCTGGCTCCACCACTTAATGGTCACGTGACCTCATACAACTCTTAGCTTCTCTAACATAGGCTAAATGTGTCCACCTCACAAGGTTGGTGCAAACATTAAATGAGCTTATACATGACAAGGATTAGAAGAGTGCCTGGCTTGTAGGAAGTGCTATTGTTTCTCCCAAACCACTTCTTACTGAAATTTGCGTTTCACATCATTTACTTTTGGTACTCTACAATGGAAGGAAACACTTCTGGTTGATTTTGCTGCAAAGAACCATTTGGTACTCCACCACAACAAACCATTTGGTACTCCACCACAGTGAGTCATTTGCTACTCCACCACAGCGAGCCATTTGGTACTCCACCACAGCAAACCATTTGGTACTCCACCACAGCTAGCCATTTTTGCAACTTTGCTTTTGAAAATTGTTCTATGGTCACAGAATTTTAGAGTAGGCTGGGCCTTGGAGAGTGTTGTATATGAAGAAACCTTAGTGAAAGGATGGCTGATTTTAAGGTATGCTAGAATGTAGAGGTGTACTGCTCATCCACATATAAACCACCTACCCAGGGACGTGGGGCTTTTGTTGTTTAATATTGCCCTGTCTTAGTCACCCAGGGATGGTGTACCAGAAGTACCACAAGTAGATGTCTTTAAAGAACAGCCTTACAGCTCTAGAGGCTGGGAGTCCAAATCAGGGGAAGGCCATGTTGATGCCTTCCCTGTGGGTCATCCTGGGCGTTTCTTGTTTACTTGGCTTGTAGACAATACTCACATGGCATCTGTCCTGTGTGTGTGTTCATCTCTGTGCCTAATCTCCACTTTTTATAACTCAGAAGTGATTATATTTAGAACTCACTCTATACTGGTATTACCTCATTAAGGTAACAAAGCAAACCCTATTTCCAAACAGGGTTATTTCCATAGATACAGGGGTTAGGATTCCAACACATATTTTGGGGGACACAGTTCAATCCATAACAGCCCCTCACCTTCCGACAGTGGGGGTTCAGGACTTGTCTCTGGCACTGGAGCCCTGGCCTTCCCTGATGCTACAGGAAGGATACCCACCTCCCAACGCCCAGAGGCAGACAGAAGAGGTGCTAATTAGAGGGAGCCTCCAGGAATGAGCAAAAGGGAGGGTGGAACACCCTCAGAACAGAATAACACATTTACATTTTCTATTCTGCTGGGGGCAGAAAGTGTATCTTCACCCACCCCATTCTACTGTATCTACAGGGAACACTTCCCCTGGGCCTGCTCCAACAGTGTGTGTGTTGCTGCTATTTCCCTTTTTATTTTTCAACCTGAATATTGAAGAAGAGAAAAGAAGGAAGTGCCCCAGTATTGAGCTCTCTGATTTCTTCTCTCATGAAGACAAAGAAGACGGAAGGGAAGAAAGTGTGCTACGGTGAGGCTGGGACCCACGTCTGAATATGTGTGGTGCGTGTGCCAGCTTCTCAGGCTGCCAAAACACAGTAACACACAGTGGGTGGCTTCGAACAACAGACGTTTATCATCTCCTGGTTATGGAGGCGAGAAGTCCAAATCCAGGGCATGGGCAGGGCCACCTTCTCTCCAGAGGCTCTAGGGGAAAACCTTTTCCTGTCTTTTCCAGCTTCTAGTGGCCCTAGGTGGCCCTGGGTTTGTAGATACATCTTCACATGTCTGTCCTTCCTCCTGTGTGTCCCTGGCTCTGTGTCTCTTCTCTTTCTATAAAAACATCAGTGGCATTGGATTAGGGCCCATCCTACTCCAGTGTGACCTCAGTCAACTCAATTGACAACATCTTCGAAGACCCTACTTCCAAACAAGGTCACGTTCACAAACACAGGGGTTAGGACTTCAGCACATCTTTTTGGGGGGCACAATTCAACCCATACCGAGGCCTGTGAATAGATTTGCCTTCTCTGTAGGTGAGGAGGGCAGCAGAGCCTGTGTGAGCTCTGAAGTCTCGGCCAGAATGTTTAATAGGCACGTTCACAGGAGAAGCTCTCCAAGCATCTCTTCCTCCAGCCACAGGCTCTGCATGTCCGTGCGGGGCGGGGCAGGGCGAAGAGCTCATCCCCAGGCGGGGCCTTGGAGCTGTGCCGAGGGCGGGCAGGGCAGGTGGGCGCCTTCGTCGGTTCTTGCAGGTGATGGAAGTCAGCAGATTGTGCCCATTAATGGCCATCTCCCTGCGCCTTTTGCTCCCATGTGCTGCAATGTGGTAGCTGCAAAGCAATCTCCAACAGCTCGCTGTAAATGGCGGTCGTAACTAATCCCATGCTCTAGGTTAATCTTTGGGCAATACAAACTAAACCGTCAAGGGGTGGATGGAGCCAGCAGACCACGTGGAGCCGGTAGAGTCGTCGCTGATTGCAGTTTTGTCTGTTTCGTCGTTCAGTGTGTCATCCCAGCACTTAGAAGGGAGCCTGCCATTTAGCAGACGTTCATCAAAGATTGTTGAATTAATGAGTGAGTGGCTGGACAAATAACCTTGTGACAACTACTGATAGCACTCTTCTGAAGAGCAGACTCGGGTTTAAAGACCAAAGCCAGGTTTCTAACAACATATGTTTGTATGCAAGCCGGTTTTATTCAAATAGGATAATTTTACAGTTAGCCTAATTATGTCAGTGATAAAGCTGTGAATGCAAGAGCTTTGCATTCTTGGGTCGACCTTTGGAATTTTGAGTATCGATCTATGCTGTCTACCCCTGGCAAAACCTGAAGGGAGTGAGCAAGGAGCCTTAGCTGTCTACCCCCGGGTGTTGCGTTGGCTCTGTCTGTTCTTCACCCCTCTAACTATTTTTAGGATTGGGCCAGTGCAAACAAGCAAATAACACCAAAAGGTCTCTTTTGTGTCCAACAGTTAAAGAAGTGGGGGAATATGGAAGTCCTAAGGATTTGAGTTAAGGTCATTTTCATTTGTGCCTTTCTTCGTGTCTCTGGTTTTAGTCAAATCAACAGCTTTGATGGCTGAGCTAATTTGGGAGGCTGATGCTTCTAAGGAAGAATGGTATTCCCGGTCCTAAATGAGAACATCACGTCCGAGAGAGAAAGGATTAAACACCACATGCGGGGAGAATCCAGAATCTCCCTTAATTTCTCTTTTTTTAGTTGTTGTTGCTGCTGTCACATTCCCGAGGGAAGGGAGAACGGCCTGTCCACTGTCATTATCCTGGGGATTCTTGAAGTCTCAGTCACCCAGGAATATATTAACCTTAGAAAACCGAGTCCTTGGCAAGATTCCCCGATTCATAGGACATCCTATTTCCTCAGTGTATATACATTTAATTATACAAAATAACTACTTTAATTTTTTTTTTTTAATTTAATTGGTGTCATAGAGTGGCCACAGCTCTGCTTTAAACGAAGGTGAACTATACCAGGGAGGCTGTTTCTGCTGAAATATTCACCTCAGCTTCCCAAACAGAAGTCCATTAGTTTATGTGGATTATGATAGAAAGACTTTAGGATCTGTTTACTTGTAGCCTTTCTGTCTGGTTTAAAGTTGTTTTGTCTTAGAGAAACATCTGAATGTAATATACTCAATTCTTATTTTTTGTAACCAGGAAAGAAAAGGAAAAAAAAATTTAGGCATTTAATATTCTCAACTTTTATGCAATATTACTTCCTTACAAATTTCTGAAGTCTACAATATTTTATTAGAACCATATAAAATATTAGTTTAGAAAACTATTGCTTTTTAAAGAAATATCGTACACTATAAGAAGCTCATCTACAGAGGTATCCAAGGCCACCAGTTGTGAATGGGAGACGAGGGGGTGGGAGACAGATTACAGCCAAACGTGAGAAAAGGTGTTCTCCCATGTAAGGTCGTCTCTCAGTGGAACTGGAGGAGCCAGCCCAGGAGGTTCTAGGATTCTGTAACACTCCTCCAGAAAGAATGGTGTTTGTCTGGGCTTTGTACAAAGGAGGGCATGGGAACAGAGGTGGAGTCATCATGATCTTGTGGGAGACAATGGGTCCCTCAGAAGTGGAGGTTCCATGGGGAAAATGGTGAAAGGCAATGCTGAATGGAAGTGCTGAAGAGTCGTATGAAGAAATAGGCATCAAATTATTTGGGATTAATGGTGGACTTGCCTGTTAACATGTGCCTCTTCTTTTCTTTCTGAACAGCCAGTGCTGATTTTCCATACAACCCAGGACAAGGACAAGCCATACGGAATGGCGTCAACAGGAACTCAGCCATCATCGGAGGTAGGTGACGAATTTAACATGTTGTTGTTGTTCTGTTGGGATTCCTAAGGTTTTCGCTGGCTAATTTTCAGAAGTAGATCACCAGGCCTTTCCTCCCAGTCTGACTTAGGCTGGAAGCTCTGCTGAAACCTGTCCACTGTGGGTGACCCTACTGGTATTTGAAATATTGGTGGCATAGCTTCCAGCATCATAGCAATACACAAGCCACCACGGTATATAACACAGCAATCTAGAAAAAAAGTTGTTTAGATTTGTTCTTCATTTTACATTTTGTATGAATAAGGTTATAAAGTATGGATGTGGAGAAACTATGGTAAATTGTAGTCTAGCCACTCTTCAATGCCAGCTGCTAGAAAGAGAATGGTAGTGGTAGACTGCATAGAATCTGAGTGTGTAAGCAGGTAGGTGTGGCGGTAGCCAGAACATTTCTCTGCGACCTCGGATCCTTTTCTCTCTCATCCTCTCGTTTCCCAAATGGTCCAGATAGCTCACTGCAAGAATGAGAGGGAATATGCCAGTCTAGTTTCAGTTATATGACTTAATAAAAATTATCAGAAAGTTAACAAGCCAAAGCGTCTAATATACCCCAGTCTTTTCTTCCCATCTAAAAATCATTATACTGAGTAAAGGAGGCCAGGCACAACAGCTCACATACTCTGTGATTCCATTTACAGACACGCAGCTTCCGAAGAGTTTAGCTCTCTTAATGTTACTGAAAACCAGTTGCCCTCGAGTTGACTCTGACTCACGGTGACCCCATGTGTGTCAGAGTAGAACTGTGCTCCATAGGGTTTTCAATGACTGATTTTTCAGAAGTAGATCACCAGGCCTTTCTTCTGAGGCACCTCTGGTGGACTTGAACCTCCAACCCTTCAGTTAGGAACCGAGCGCATTAACTGTTTGCACCTTCTGTTTCTGCCCACCCTTTGTGCTGTTTTTGTCGTTTATTTTAACTGTTTTAAAGTCTGTATCTGCTAATTCCATCACCTCTGTCATTTCTGGATCTCCTTTTCACTGATTTTTCTTCTGGCTACAAGCGACATTTTCCTGGCCCATCCCCTTTCTTATTCTTTTTTTTTTTTTTTTTTTTTTGCATATTCGGTAATTTTTATTGAATGTAGACACTGTAAATGATGTTACATTGAGTGTTTGGATTTTATTTTCTTCCTTTAAAGACTACTGTGGTTTATTTTGCCGACAGTTCAGTTGCTTACAGATCAGCTTGATATTTTTGAGTCTTATTTTAAAACTTTTTTAGGACAGATCTTAGTAAAGCTTTTCACCTCGGGCTGTTTTGTCAAAACACCCACAGTGTGACTCTTCTGTAGTCTGTACCGAATGCGCTGGTTGTTCAGTGAGGTTACTTATTCACTGTGGTTAGTGGGAACACGAACATCTCCCAGCCCTGTGTGAGGTCCGGAACTCAGTCTGTTTACAGCTCCCGAGCCATTGCTATTTGCTGGCCTTGTGGGATTTCACCCTATGCCTGCACATAGTGGTATATAGCCACAGATTCTCAGGGACTTCCACGCAGATTTTATGCATAGTTCTTTCTGTACATAGCTCTCTGTGGTTCCTCAGTTCAGAGAGGCTGCCAGGCTTGGCTGTGTTCCCCTCCAGCGTGAGTTCAGAAACTGCCCCCAGGCAGAACGACAGGAGAAGGGCAGGGCTTCCCTGGTTTTGTTTCCCATCCTCAGGTTCTGTTATGCCTGTTGTCCAGTGTCTGAAAACTGCTGTTTCATGTATGTTGTCGGGTACTGTAGGCACTTCTGGCTGGAAGACAAGTGACTCCTGTTGCTTCTGTTACCCCTCTATGGCCAGAGCAGAAGTCCTCTCTGACTGCTGTTGGTGGTGGAGGTGGTAGTGGTATTGATGGTGGAGGTGGTGGTGGTGTCTGGAGGTTTGTGTTTTATGGGGGAGAGGGTAGCATTGGAGGACACCATGGTGAAGTGGAGACTAGATGATGGGGACCACATAAGATATGTTTAACCTCTAGTCCTTCTCCTGTCTCCACCAGGGGTCATAGCTGTGGTGATTTTCACCATTCTCTGCACCTTGGTCTTCCTCATTCGATACATGTTCCGTCACAAGGGCACCTACCACACCAACGAGGCGAAGGGCGCGGAGTCGGCAGAGAGTGCGGACGCTGCCATCATGAACAACGACCCCAACTTCACAGAGACCATTGAAGAAAGCAAAAGGGAATGGCTCATTTGAGGGTGGCTCTTTGGCTATGGGGTGGGGCGAGAGAGAGGGACAAAGCACCCTGCTTCACACTCTCGAGCACATCCTTAAAATATCAGCACAAGTTGGGGAGGCAAGCAACAGAAAATTCTTGAGACTGATCACCACAAAAAAAGAGATACTTTTTAATATTTCTTTATAGCTGAGTTTCCCCTTCGGTATCAAAACAAAATAATACAAAAATGCTTTTAGAGTTTAAGCAATGGTTGAAATTTGTAGGTAGTACCTGTCTTATTTTGTGTGTGTTTAGAGGTGTTCTGAAAACCCGTGATAACAGGGCAAGTTTTCTACATTTTTAAGAGCCCTTAGAAGGTGGATATTTTTTCTTGAGAAAAGCTGATAAACATACACATGGCCTCCAGTGTTCTCGTCCTTGGCATATAGTCAACTTTAACAGGCAGCCGTAGTAACTAGTCCGTGTTCACGTATTTCATTTGGTGTCCTATAAATCTGAAAGGGAAAGACGGGGGCGAAGAGAGCCTATTATTTGCCAGTTTTCAGAGAGATCTCAATCTGTCCTGATTCTCTGAGGGTCCCGCCTAACACAGCAGTTGTAGGAAGAGGGTGTCTGGAACCTGTCGTGTAAAACAGTCAGCACAGCTGGAGAGAAGCATTAAGAACTACAGAAAGTAACTTCATACTGGGATTGTCGGTTTTATTTTTCAGTGGATTCTAAAAGATAATGGTGTTCCATGTACATAGCCTTAGACCCATTCAATATCTAACTTTCAGCTACAATTTTTCTGTTACAAAAGGTTTCTCCTCGGCTCTTCCTGAAATATGTTGGATTGCGTCATCTGTGTGTGAAAGCACCTCAGTGGAGATTAGAGCCAGGTGTGATGGCTTGTTCGCTTCTGCTGCTTCTATAGACGTAGCGAAAGCACCTCCTAGGGAATGCGTGAATTAAGTTGCTCTTCTTATTTTGCTTTAAGCCTCTAGTTTTTAATCCCTTTGTGACAAAATCCTAGCAAACAGTGTCCTCTAAACGGATACATCACAATAAAGCCGAGTTATCACTGTTATTACTATTGCTGTTACTTTGGAATCCTGTGGAAAACACTGCCACGTGTTAAGTCACCCACACCTCATATTGTTCCGTCCAAAATAGACCTACTGCCATGATGCAGGATCTCCTATGGCAGACACATCTGAGCCTTGGGTTTGTCCCAAAAGTGGTAGGTGGCCGTTGCTTCTCAGAGAACGGATGTGTCTTGTCAAACGTACCACTCAGTTGAACCAGGAATCTTGACCACTTATTCCAATGAATAACCCATTGGTTGTACTTAAAAATAATAGACTTTGTGTAACCAAATGGGAACAAAACTCCCTACTGGAGCATCCGAAAGACCATTTCATTTATTTATTTTAAAAAAAAAAAGAGTGCACAAAGGTTATTTCCACAATGATGACCATTTACAATCATTATACTTCAGGTTTCTTATTATACTTTATAAGCACTTCTTAAAAATTCTTTAGATTCCAACATTTTGAGGAAATAAGTATGATCACTTTTTTGCTCTTCTTCCTGGAAAGGGATAGGATGAGATTTAAAAGGCATGGATGCTATTTTTCCAGTGGCCTCTGTCAATGAAATGGAAACTAGTTTGTTGGGATTGTAGCCCCTTACTCTTCAGGATCCTGGGTGTGCCTCACTTGCTGGAGGCTCTTCAGTTTCTTGGGTGATGGGACTGTCATCCCGAGCTGTGACTGGCACATGGCGCCAGCATGGCTCATTCCAAAGGCGCCATTGGACCTGCCAAACCCGCCAAGTCAAGGTAACAGAACAGAAGGGGGTCCGATGCCTTCTCACAGTGATGACCTCAGGCACGATCGGGAACACCCTTAACTTAAAAAGGTCTAGATCATTCTTCTATAAAACGCACTAAGAACAGGAAACTATTTAATAGGATTAACTGTCAAAACAATGTAATGGTTACAAATGACGTATTGCAAACAAGGCTATTTATTTCACCAAGAAGACTGTCATTAAGGAACCTCTTATGTATTGTCACATGGAAAAAACACATTTTAAACATTATGTTCTGAGGTGTTTCTGGGGTTTTTTTAACTTTTACAGGTATTACTTTTGCATGTAACAGTGCCAGATGGGAATGCACTATTTCTTGCATTTCCCATGATAACTCTACTCTTTATGCATTGCCTCAGCACTTTCCGCTTCTTCCCAAAATGATTAGGGGATTCAAACAATCAATAACAGCCCCTGATACAGAAATGTCCTCCCCCTTCCTCTTCCTGCTCTTCTGTCCTCCTTCCTGCCACAGAAGGTGAACAGTAAAACCCAGAGCTTCTTTCACCAACTTTCTACTCCTAGGGCCCTGGACCAGCCAGAGGGTAGTGGCTCACCCACATCCCCATCAATTCAGTCAGAGAAGTAGACACAGCCCTGCCCTGGAGGAGGTTACAGTCCCCAGGAGACACAAAAAGGGGGTAAGGTAGTCAGTGACTGAGTGCCAAATGGGTGCTGGAAATCTTGGTTTCTCTTTGATGCTGTGGACTTAACAAAAATTCCCAAGTCAGCTCATGAAGGCCACGTCCAGAACATTCCAAATGGTAAATGATTTGTTTGTGTGAAGAAAAGGGAGCAGCTCTTTTTTCCAGCTTCCTCGCTGGAAAATTCAGGACATGCAGCCTCCATCACCATGACTTAATGGTCCAAACCCAATGCCTAGTCTTGCCTTGTGATTTGTAGCCCACAAAATCTGGATGTTTTACGTCCCAACACATCGTCAGGCAAGTACAAATAGGCTAGAGGCGGCCTCTTTAAATCACAAGAACAAACAAAAACAGCCAAGGGCTGTTGTAAAGTTTCAGGAAGAGTTGATGGCGGACTTAGGGTTATTCGTGTGGGAAATCTCCTCTGGGTATAAAGCAAGCAGCTATGTTTTGAGAAGCCAGAAGGGGAAACTTTGAACGAAAGCAAAATGAGCACTATTCTCAGCTCCTAAATACATATTCGCTGGAGCTGGAGGAAAGGGGCCTGGTGGTGCAGTGGTTAAGCGTCCGCTCAGTGGTTTGAACCCACCAGCCGCTCCAAGGGAGAAAGATGTGGCAGCCTATTTCTGTAGAGACCGCAGCCTGGGAAACTCTCTGGGGCAGTTTTACACCATTGTATAGGGGCACTATGATCGGAATCGAGTAGAGGGCAACAGGTTTGGTGTTTAGTTAGAGTTTGAGGAAGCTACCTCAGGAGGAAGGAGAAGTTATTTTCTATTATTCTCTAGCACTTCTTAATATTTAAGAATATTTTTCCCCTTGTGGCTTCCAACCAACTGCTCGGCAAAAGGAGACTCGTTACATAGGTGTTTTTAATTGAAGAGCCAGGAACAAGAGCTTGGTGAGCCTTTGTTGCCCTGGGTTTGACAAAGCATCCTTTACTACTGCAGCAGGGACTCAGAGGCAGGGAAGAAGTCCTGCCCCAGGCACAGAGCAGGTCTTCACGTGACCATGACCCCTGCTGAGGCCAGGGCGCAAGGAGCACAGAAAACACTCAGGAAAAGCAGAGGGCCATCGGATACGGGGATGCAAGTGTGCAGAGTAGCGTCAAGAAGAAACGTTGATTTCCTTCCACAACCAGCTCTGTCCCTCTCACCCCTCACTCCTCTTCCACTCGCCGCCCCCTCACGCAGACCCTTCCTCTCTTAGGGCGTGAGCCTTTTAGTGCTCCTTTTAAGTTCCGCGCCTCCAGAAGGTTAGCTCCTGGTGTGACCCTTTCGATGTTATTGTTGTTTTTTTACCCTCTGAGCAAGTACTTTTCAAAAGAAAGGTGCCAGTCAAATTTAATTCATTAGCCAGACAAAAATAGGTCCTAAATTAGTAATCCCAGTAGATCTTTATTGCTGTTGTGTTGCTTCCAACTCATAGCAACCCCATATGACAGAGTAGAACTGCCCCATAGGGCTTTCTAGGCTGTAATCTTTATGCGAGCAGATTGCCAGAGCTTTTTCTCCCATGGACTCGCTGGGTGGGTTTAAACTGCCAACCTTTTGGTTAGCAGCCGAGCGCTTAACCATTGCGCCATCAGGGCTCCTTGAAGAGTTGAAAAGCAAACGTTAACAGCCTGTCTCGCTGGTTGGGGCGAACAGCCATTGGGTGCCGTCTGCTCAGTGGTGTTTTGAGGAGAGTGGACCCCAGGAGTCAGCTAGTCAGCCTGCAGGTCCTCACCTGCCCTCATCCCTGACTGGCTGTGCGACCTTGGCCAGGTCACTGAGCCTCTGTCCCTCTGGGCCCCAAGCGTGAGATGGGCTGGTTTACCTACTTCCTGACACAATGGTGAAAAGCCACTGGTTCCTGACCCAAATGAAAGACCCACATCACTGGGCCTCCTGGTGAAGGCTTCGGATCTGTGATCACAGGTCAGAAGAGGCAAGGTGGCAAGTGCAGGCGTCTGGAGACGTATGGGGCATTGCCACACGGCTGCCTAATCAGCAGGGTAGACCGTCGGGGGGTAAACTGTGAGCACTAGACATACAACGACACCAGGCCCGAGAAGTCAGAGCCTGGCCCGCACAAAGCCGGGAGCTCCCTCCCGGGGTGAGACTTACAGCTTGGCTTCCCTCCACACGCTCAGTGATGGGACTGGCTTCTACACAAGCCAGCGGAAAACACGTGCGACCTCTCGCTGGGCCTGGGGGCTCTGTGCGCACCCACACTTACCCGGCCTGAGGATTTTGCAAACTTCAAGGTAGATTCCTTCACAGCACCACTTTTTTTTTTTTTCTGCATGAGTGGTATGTAAACTCATCGTCAGTAAAATGGGACAGTCGTGCTAAAAGTCGGCCACCATCTCCGGTAAGCAGACCGGCAGAGGGTAAGACACTTGTTTGCAGGCTTATTTTCCAGATGAAAACCTGCCTTACGAGCCCGGCTGCTAAGACCATCTTCGCCAGTTCCAAGCCTCCGTTTATGCAGAGCTGCTGGAGTCTGGGATGGCGATGAAGATGTGCAGGTTCCTCTCTGTAGGACAAGAAACCGTTCTCAATGTTACCGATCCTCAGTTTTGTTTTGTTGGGTTTTTCACTTTTTTGAGTGAGCGTGGTGACTTGCCGAGGTTGGAGCTGTGAAAAAAGCTAGGCTGCATATTCTTTCCGTAAAGTCTGCTGGGGTCCCATCCTGTGAAATAACACACTCTCACGCTCTAAAAGCAACAGCATGTAAACTAGAATGAAAGAAGGGAGTTATGTACGTATGCCTAATATTCTTTATGAATGTCTTTCATTAAACTAAAATTATATTAGAAACCAGATGGATAAATAAAAAATTCAAAATAGTTTTAATTATCCTAAAAGCGATTCTTTGTGTTTTGTTCCACTTGGTGCCCTTGAATCAATGTTCAGCCTTCACCAAAACACAGCTCCAAGCGCTGAAGTCAGCATCTATTGGGTGTATTGTCTTTCCAGAGCTGTGGAGAGACAGTTTACTCCTCAAAACCTAAAAAAAGCCAGACCATTGTTATCGAGTTATCCCTGACTCATGGTGGCCCCATGTGTGTCAGAACTGTGTTCCATAGGGTTTTCAGTGGTGGATTTTTCAGAAGTAGATCACCAGGCCTTTCTTCTGAGGTGCCTTAAAGGCAGCTCTTATTTGGATGCATCCATTGTTAACCTTCTCTTGTCCTCTCTGCCCAATTGTTGTTTAAATAGCTTAATGGAAGTCAATGTCATGTATTGAATGAATTTACACACAGCTCGATAAATGTGGTTAGAGGCCAGTGACGTCCAGAGTATATTTGACCCTTCTTTGGAATGAGGGAGTAACACTGGATAATGGGCAAATGGACCCAGGCCAGAAACCCAGAAAACGGAGATTTACCCCTGAGGTCTGAGGCACAGACCTTTCTGAACGCCCTCCGTGCACATTAAGGATGCTAGACCTAAGTGATGACTCGCACTCTCTGCCCCTGTATTACCCGTGGGAAGCTATTTTCTCCTCATCAATTCTCAGCGAAGCATTCAAACGTACACCAGTTACGTGTGACTGCACCTTAGAGCCAAACGTCTCTGCAGTTCAGCAGTTCCCAAGGTCAGCCAATAGCAGTGTGTTCGGAGAGCCTGGTGCTGTAAGGTTCATTGCTGAGATTTTGCTTTGCAAATGTAATACAGCAGAAGCTAAGAGAATGTCCTAAACTCCCTTGAGAAAAGAGCCCTATACAAGTTCTTTAACAGACAGACTGAAGAGGGAAGGGCCAGAAGGGTTAGGGTCCGGCATCTCCAAGCAGGCTCATCCTCCCCAGCACCCCCGCCTGGCCTGGGTGGCCCCAAGACCAGTAGGTGCCTGGACAAGGACTTAATTTAGCACAAGGCAGTAGCTGTTAAAGGAGCTCTGGTGGCACAGTGGTTAAAGTGCTCGGCTGCTAGCCAGAAGGTTGGCTTGAAGCCACCAGCCGCTCCGTGGGAGAAAGATGTAGCAGCCAGCTTCCCTAAAGATTTACAGCCTTGGAAATCCTCTGGGGCAGTTCTACCCTGTCCTGTAGGGTCACTATGAGTCAGAACCAACTCCATGGCAAAGGGTTTGTTTTGCAATATTTGTTGACCGCCTGGGGAGTGAGGGAGCAGAGGGGGCAGAGGGGGAGTCACAGGGGAAGGGCACACTGAAGAAAACGTATCTCCTTCTGCACCACAAGGCACAATGGATTCACCAGAACCCAGAAAAGAGAAAAGAATTGGGGTGTCTCTTTTGGGAAGGTGCCTTTGCCCTCCCAAATGAACCTGTGTTGTATGGAACATTAGCACCTGCTGACCTCTTGGGGTCACCCTGAAAAGCAGGACTGCAGGGCACCGCGGGCCGGTCAGCACCCCTGCACCTGACCTCTGCTCCCCGGTAGGTTAGGGCTAACACTGGGGCGGGGCCCCCAGGGGAAAGAAAAGAAAAATGTCAGCTATTTGAGGAAGACAACTGCTATGAAACAAAAACAATATATTGAACAGCCAACACCTGACAAAATGGAATTAAGGGGACAGATCAAAATATGTTACATGTCCTCAAAGAGGTAAGAACAAACATCACCGATGTAAAGCAGGAGGCAGCCGCTACAAAGAAAGCCCAGTGGAAACACTTGCGAAAACCATGGTTGAAACGGTTGGTGTGAGCGCTGCACCAGTGAACACCACGTGCCTGGGGACGTAGGGCTTTTCTCTGCAGACTGTAAGTTAAGAAGCCCAGACCGGAGCAGGGTGGGTCCTCATCTAACCCCTTCTGAGAGGAGTCTTGTACGGAGGACAGACATAGGAACAGAGCCACAAGGGGGAAGACAGACGCCATGTGAGGACCATCTACAAGCAAGCGAAGCCCAGAACACAGGGGCCACCAGGAGCTGAAAGGACGAGGGGGAGTTTCGCCCCCTCCTCCCCACTCCATCCCCTCC